GCACTAGCAAATAGCCTTTAGCTTACCAGCCACTGCCATCCTTCCCCTGAGAAAAGAGACCTACTTCCTGTGTGTCTGTATTTTTATTGCCTTTCTGTTCTGCCTTCTCATTGGTTCTAAACCCAACCACATGACTTCTTCGTCACTGCCTGTCTATACAGACCTCTAGGTCTCTATGGTTGGTGCTTGGATTAAAGGCTTGTGCCACCAAGCTGGCTATGTCCTTGAACACACAGACTCTGCCTGCCATGTGATCGGATTAAGGGCATGTGCTACCACTGCCAGACTTCTGCTAAATGGCTTGGTATTAACTCTGACCCCCCCCCAGGCAACTTTATTTATTAACATACAAATAAAATCACATTTCAGCACAAATAAAATATCACCATAACATAGAGTTTACTCTGGTAACCATTTTGAGTGTGCATTCTTGCAGCATTAGGTACATTTATATTTTGTAACTGTCACCTCGATCCTTCTGCAGAACCTTGTCATCTTTCAGTCCCCGAACTGTCCCCATTAAACACTAACTCCTTGCTCCCCATCTTTCCAGCCCTCAGCCCTCACTCTCCCACATTCTGTCTCATGAATCTGACCTCAGGTACCCTGCATAAGCACAAGGGTACACCAGTCGTCCATCTGGGTCTGCCATGCTTAATTTACTGTCTTTACAAGAAGCACCGTGTGGTCATACCTTTTTTAAATTTTTATTACATACCAACCACAGATCCCCCCTCATCCTTCCTCCCGCTACCCCCTCCCGTCCAAACCACCCTCTGACCCATTCTCTATCTCCTCCTCCAAAAGGGTGAGTTCTCCCATGGGGACAGCAAAGCCTGGTACATTCAGTTGAGCCCCCCTCCCCTGCACCAAGGTCGAGCAAGGCATCTGACCATAGGTAATGGGATCCAGAAAGCCAGTTCATGCGCAGGGATAGATCCTGAGCACACTGCCAGGGGTCCCCCAAACAGACCTAGCCACACAGCCGTCTCCCATTTGCAGAGGGTCTAGTCCAGTCCCATGCAGGCTCCCATGTAGTCCTATCTAAATGTTCTTCCTTCCTAAAGACTGAATAATCTCCAGTCGTGTGTCTGTAACATAATTTGCTAATTCATCCGTTACAGACTTTTGGGTTGTTGTCACCTTGGGGTTTTTTGGAATGTGACACTGTAAACATTGATGTATAGATGTCTGTTTGAGTCTCTGCTTTTAAGTCCTTTGTATATTCATCTCTCAGTGGAATTATTTGGATCAAATGGTCTTTCTGTATTTAGTTTTAACTTTAGTTTGAACTTAGTTATGTTCCATTTATTTTGTGTGTATGAGAGAGGTGTATAGCAAAATAAACCTGCAGGAACTGTTCCGTGGATTATATTCTGGGGTGAAAACACTGGTGTTTCTCCCTAGAAACTGCTGTCTGTGCTCGTGATTGTTGACTTAAAATTTGGCATGCAGTTTCAGAGTGCACGAAGATTTTGTCTGCTGGGATGCACTCAGCCTCGGCTCCTCAGGCTGCTTGAGCAGTGTATAGGAAGAAGCAGATAAAGTAATTTTAAACCCTGTTTCTGTATGTGCAAAGTGTGGCTTACACACTGTCTCCACAGAACTAGATGGAGTAACAAAGGGATGAAAGTGTATGTGTGTGTCTCTGAGTGCATGGTTTTTCCTTTTGGTTATTAAAGAAATGTCATTGAACAGATTCCAATAATCTATAATTTAGGTTGTTAAAAAGTCTCATTTTAGTGTAGATTTTACAGAATTGGTCACAGATCCTGGAGAGATAAAATCAATATTTTTGAATTAAATTTGCAAGTGAGACTACAAGTACAAAGCTAATGTACCTAGAATGAAAATTCTTACTTATTGCCATGGCTATAATTTAAAATACTTGAAAATTTTATTACTTTGTAGGTTCAAATGTATTTGCTGTCTACTGAAATGTAACTTAGCCTTGAAGTACAGACTCTAGCAGGGAAGTGATGTCTGCTCAGAGTCCATGGGTAAAGAAGGGTATGTAACTTGAGGCAGAGAATAGGGGTTTAAAAAGGTAGGGCCAGTGTCAGACTCTGGTAGAAGACTAGTTGCTCTAGACACATCTGTGGTTGCAGCCTAGTCTATAGATTTTAATTTATTTTGTAAGCCTTTGCTACCACAAGACCTGTTTAGCAGCCTGGGGCATTGCCAGAATGGCGCAAATAGGAATTAACTGTTCCCTGTGTGCTGCTAGGCAAAACTCAGTTCTTCCTAGCATTTTTGACTCCCAAACATGAGAGCAGGGCAGAGATTTGTCATCTCACACTGTGTATTCTTAGTGCCTAATATAATTGCTTATGGAATAGATTCTTTTAAGCACTGGCTAAATCTATTCTTAGGAGGTTGGCATAAATATGACAGCATGGAAAGAAGCAGCTCCTGTAGCTATCCAGGGGCCAATCTGGATTGGAGTAAGAATGTGGCCAAGGACAGGAAATCACAACAGAGCAGAAACCAGAGAGATGTGAAAGTTCCATGTGCCACATTGAGCTGTTTATGAATTTCCTTGATATTCTGGCCTTAACCTGAATTGCACTTGTTTATTTAGGAGGTGTTGGGGCATGAAAGTTGTGGGGTGTCAAGAGGCATGCACTTCTAAAAGGTTTTATGTGTAGAGTTGTTTTGCCTGCGTGTTTGTCTGTCTGCTACTTGGGTGCTTGGTACCCACAGAGGCCAGAAGAAGGCATCCGATTTCCTGGGACTTGAGTTACAGACCGTTGTGAGCCACTTTGTGGGCACTAAGAACTGCACTCAGATCAGCCAGTGCTCATAACCACTGAGCCATTCTCTAGCCTCTATTTTTTAAAATTGTTTTAAACACGTGTGTGTGTGTGTGTGTGTGTGTGTGTGTGTGTGTGTGTGTGTGTCCGTGTCCATACTCACGCGATGATAACTTGCCTAAGTCAGTTTTCTCCTTCCACCATGTATGGCCCAGGGATTGATCGTCAGATTTGTTGACAAGGGCCTTTACCTGCTGAATCATCTCCTTGCATCCTCTTTAAAGACAAGTCTCTCTGTGTAGCCCTGGCTGGCCTAGGACTCACTGTGTAGACCAGGCTAGTCTTGAAATTTCATTGAGTTCCTACTACCTCTGTCTCCTGTGTGCTGGAGTTACAGGTGTATGTCACCACACCTGGCTTATAATTTTAATATAAAGTTATGAAGACACAGAGAGATAAGAGTGTGTAGTATTTACGAAAGATGTAATGGCAGTAATCATCATATATTGTGGGAACTCTTTCCTGGGGAGATGTAAACAAATGTCTAGCTCTTTATTGGAGAGTACCAACAACAAACCAAAGTATGATTCTATTAAAGTTAGTCAGGCGAACTTAAAGAGCATGGTCAGGGAATTACTTATAGGAGCAAAGCAGCCACACCACCCCGAAGTCTCACCCTGTGAAGAATGGTGACTTTTGCAGAGCTGCTTATATGGAGTCTCCCTGTGAGTTAACCTTCCACAGTTTGTACTCTAGCACCTCCTGAGACCACAGGCTCTGTGCAGTTCAGGGCAGAGTCATACTCAGTGGGCAGGGGAGAGGGAGCAGAGAGGGTGTTTAAGATACGAGGTTGAGGGCTAGAGAGATGGCTCAGAGGTTAAGAGCACTGGCTGTTCTTGCAGAGGTCCTGAGTTCAATTCCCAGCAACCATATGGTGGCTCCCAACCATCTGTAATGAGATCTGGTGCCCTCTTCTGCATTATGGTAGAACATTATATACATAATAAATAAATCTTAAAAAAGATATGAGGTTGAGGGAGTGATGGTCCTCCCCACCCCTCCTCCTGTGAGGGAATGCCAGCGGTTAACAGGTCCTGTCTTGAGCTGCTCTGATGAAGATGATGACTTCTGCTCCAAGGACAGTACTAGACAACATCATAGAAAGCAGTATTTTAGCTGAGCGAGAGACAATGGGAACACTTCCTGCCAAGCAGATCATCTATGAGGAGAGGCTTAGAAAGCTATATAGAGTCCAGGTAGAGAAGGAGATGGGTGACTGGTCCTGAGTGTGAGAAGCCTTGTTTCTGCTTTGGCCTGCTGCTTCTGTGTGTGAGTCCCTCCACTTCTTACTTTAACCACAAGCAATGGGAACCAGTAGAGGATTTCAAACAGCCAAGTGACATCAGAAGTGTCTTTGTCAATTTTATGGCCACATAGAAGATGAATTATAGGGCAGATTCCAGAGGGATGGATTTTGGAGGTGGTTGTAGTCCAAGCAGGAGATGGAGCTTTCCAGCTGTGACTCCATTTACATCAAATGCCAGGATAGCTGATTATTAGAGATTAATGGAGTTGCCAGGATCTAGTGGGGGAGATATAACAGGAAGGAATTATTCATGTATGTGGGCTTTTGAGATTCTTGAGTTAATAGTGATAGTTTTACAGTCTTATTAATGAACTGAAAAGCACCAGATTACATTCTTTAATAAGACTGTACAACTATTACTATACCACCGTGAACTACCTGCTCTCCTTTAAAAATGATGAATTATCTCTGATGCTTAAATTATATATTGATTTAAGGGGCGGGGGTGAAGGAAAAGGGAAGGGGTGGAGACCCTGGAACAAGCAGAGTTCAAGACACTCAGTGATAGAGAGTTTAAATACTAGCAATATTGAAAATGAAGTAGCAGCTGTTTCTCAAGTTTTTAGTCTGTAAGATTGAACTGATAAGGACAGAAATATGGGAATAGAGCAAGTTTGGGGGAAATAAGTAGTGAGCTATATATTAATTGTGCAACCAAGGCCAGCACCTAAACATAATGGTCCTGATTTAAAGAGAGAGATTTGAGACTAGAGAAAGAGGGGAATGTATGGAAGTTGATTGAAGTCAGTCAAACTTGTTGATAGATGATATTTTCTTTTTCCAACCTCCTTGGAAGACATGTCCTATTGTTCCTTGTTGCTGAGTCTGGTATATAAGTGTTTTTGCTTTCATATAAAACTGAGCTTTATGTTACTTTTCAGGCAGAAGCAAGGCTAGCAGCAAAGCGGGCCGCCCGGGCAGAAGCAAGAGACATCCGCATGAGGGAACTGGAACGGCAGCAAAGAGAGGTAACGAGAAGTGTCATCTTAGCCTGTGCGTGCCTGCGTGCGTGCGTGCGTGCGTGCGTGCATGCGTGCAGTGAATTGGAGTGAGGGGTAAAAAACAGGTTGAATGAAGGTGAGATCTCACCATCTCGAATCTCCGTTTCCAGGGCTCAGGAGTACAGAGGACTTTAGTGAGCTACAAGGCTGAGATAATATATAGTGAAATCCCCAGGTTGGATACCTTCTTTCTCTTCAGGGTGCGGCCCCCTCCACTTGAATGTAGATCTAAGTCTTGCTCTCCTGGTCAGCAACTGCATTTTCTCTTTAGATAAACCAGTTAAAAATGATCATAAAGAGAGGAGGGGGCATTGCAGACAATAGATAAAAAAGGATGGGTTGTTAAAAGCACTTGGTCCCCAGGGTGGCAAAACTAAAGACCCCTGTATTCTTCACTTCATAATCCCAATTCTCTGCCTTCCAAATAACCAACTTAGGAAGTCTATTCTGGACATTTTTCTATATTTTCTTACTTACAGTAATTGTTATCATCCTCACTGTCAATCCTGCTATACTCATAGAAGACCTCTCTAATGGGTCTTTGTGATAAATGAGGATTGGCCTGAAAGTTTTAGATGGAAGGTTTTGTTTGACATGACATATGTGCAGATCCAAGAAGAAACATCACAGCGAACCTTGGTCTCCCTAGATAGCTAGCTGAATCCCATGCTTACCATTTTGAAACATTTAATACTGTAGAAAAACGTTCATGTAAGAATATGGGGAAAGCCGGGCGGTGGTGGCGCACGCCTTTAATCCCAGCACTCGGGAGGCAGAGGCAGGTGGATCTCTGTGAGTTCGAGGCCAGCCTGGGCTACCAAGTGAGTTCCAGGAAAGGCGCAAAGCTACGTAGAGAAACCCTGTCTCGAAAAACCAAAAAAAAAAAAAAAAAAAAAAGAATATGGGGAAAACCCCCAAACTATGAAATTGGTAGAACATCCCAAAACAACCAGTGCCAAAATATTGGATCAGAAAGAACTGGTTTAATCTGTACTTTGGTTTGACAGTATGCAATTATAATTGGTCTTATGTTTTTCTGTAGTCTACAGATTTATATTATGCTTTTGTCATCAGAAAAGTGGAAAAAAGTAAAATGGGTAAATGGAAATTGAGCTTAGATGACATACTTGATAACTTTTCTTTCTGACATTGACTTGGGTCTGAAATCTCACAAATATTTTGATACTGTATTTATAAAGGGAAAACATATGTGGAGGATTAGTAAGCAATTTATTTTGGTGTTATTGGTAGATTTTTCTATTGACAAGTTAAAAAAAGAAATTTATATATTTGTGGTCTATGTTGATGTAATTTTCTCCTCTTATTTACAGTTTCAAATATTGGTTTGAAATGTAATGTTCCTATTCATTGTCCTTATACTCCTAAGATTGTACTAAATTATAAATAGAAGAGACAGTTATTAATAGAATTTCTACCTGTGCAGCGGACCATGTGTCTTTTTGTTACTGAACTTATTTAGCTTAGTAATTTCTTGTATTTTCAAAGTGTAAGCTTTGAGTCAACTACTATTGTTGTGTCCGGCAAGTGTATGTGATTAAGATTTTTTTTTTTTTTTTGAGAATGCAGTGTATTGAAAACCATTCAGTTTATAAAACTTTTGTATTTATAGCCCTCTCATCATTGCTCTGAACGGAAATGGGGACAGATTCAGAAGTGGCTGGTAGGCCAGGATTGCCTGTCCTGCATGCTGTGATAAACTGTTGAACTAATGCAACATTGAAGCAAAACATTGACTAACGGTTTGCAAAGTAGGCGCTTGGTCTGTGTGGACCTAAAGGTCACAGAGTAACTGTTGTGTTTATAGTAGTTGAGATGAGTACTCCAGTCCAACCATTTTCTTTTGTGGTCAGTAGCCTCACTTTCAACTCATGAAAGTCCTAGATCAAGAAAGAATGAGTAAATGATTATGTGTTTTAGTAGTTTAGGCCAGACTAGAAAATCTTAAATATAAACAAAAACATATATTGAAAGTCTAATATTTCATTTCTCTCTTCAGGGGCTGTGAAGATAACCATTTAAAAGAATCATTGATATGTGTGTAGCTTACGTAGTGAGAGTATTAGACTTAGGAGGTTTTTGGTTTGAGGTTTAGAATGTAGTTGGTTAACCTGAGTCTTGACTGATAGCTAGGTTTGGGCATGTGTGGGAGTTTGTTTCAGATGGGAGTAATTGCTACTCCTTACTACTTCTACCCCTGTTCTTTACTCCTTTCCCATGGGTTCTTCCACTCTCTTCCTACCTTACTCTTTGGCTCCCTTGTTTGTGAGTCCACAGGTTATCATGTAATATTCTTGATAGAAACTGTATATATGTCCCCAGTAAGCCAAACAACCTTTCCTTTCCTAACTTGGTTCTGGTCGGAGTTTTATCTTAGCAGCACAAAGCAAACTAGGACCAGAGATGAGCAGGAGAGGTTTGGTGATGGAAGGGTCCCGTGTAATCACGGGCAGAGTCAGAGCTGAGAGGTGAAGCAGGCAAGGGGAGGCCCGAGTCTTCGGGGTCTCTGTGCAGTCTTGTGTAGCTAGCTTTCCGTTTCTCAGGACTCTGGTTTAAGTTGCATGCTTCAGTCAGCAGCATGTTGGTGTGTGGCTGGAAGAGTAGATGCTGTTCCTAGTGTTTTCTGGTCTGACACTGAAGGAGCAACTCCAGCCCCAGTTTAATAATAATATTTGTAGACAGAGAAGGTGGCTAGGCATATTCTTGGGGCTGTAATTTTCTTTTACTAAAAACCACCTTGCCTCACTTTAAGTGAACTTTTAAAAAGAGCGTGTTTTATTTTCATTAACCTAATTTAAATATAGCAAGATAATTTTCCAGGAAGTTTTTTAAACTTTATTAATTCTTATAAGAAACTCAGTCATCACATTGTAGAATCTTTGCTCCATCTGTATTGTGCCATTACCAACATTGGCCTTTTATCCACGTTGAGAATACTGGGGCTCACTTAGACTAGGCAGAAAGCTTTGCCACTGAGCTTTATCTACACCTGCTTTTTGTTTTTTGAGACAAAGTCTAAGTTGTCCTGGCAGAAATAGTCTGCTGGTCATGAACTTCCTGGTCTGGGTACTTATGTTGTCATTTATGATAGTGACCAGTCTTTAGACAGCCAGAGAGGAAAAGATGCCCCAAAGTTTGGGCTAAATATGTCCCTGTCATTTAAGGCATTGTCATGCTTGGGTTGTTCAGTCCTAATAAGGCCACCCAGGATTATGACAGTGGTTGTTTCCTCGTGACTGAAAGGGATAGATATTCTGTCTCGTACTTAGTGCCCAAGAGCACAGTTCGCTGCTGTCTGTTTTCTTAGCTTCTGGTGCTGTTCCTTAAGGACAAGACACTGGCTGTTCTGGGTAGTACTGTAGATCTCCCGACAGCGAAGAGGGTTGCTGTTCCCTGGAAGGAAGCCTGAGTTTGTTGTTGCTTCTGTGTGATTGGGCCTCGGCAGGGTGGGTGCTGTGGTGGATGCTGTAGTCATGGGTCTGTGGTCTGCTGAGTCTGAGGATCTGAATGCTGACCCCAGCTTTATGCTCTGCAAGATCCTTCCTTAACCCTCCCCTGTGCTAACTTTCTATGCTGACGATGAGGGATCAGATAAGACCCTCTCCAGGGATTCCAGAGCCTAATATGGTGGCACCTGCCTCTAATTATGGCACTTGGGAGGCAGAGGCAGGAGGATTGCCATGATTTTGAGGCTAGCTTGGTTTACTGAGTGAGACGTGTCTCGAAAAACAGAAGTTTTCTGGAGTTGTAACCAAGGTCTTTTCTTCTAATTTCCCCACATTTGCCACATACCTCCTTTTCACAGTCAGGAGATAATTAAAAACAGCCTCGGTGCTTTGCCTTTCTGCAAGCAGTGGTGCTGCTGAGAAAAAGGCTTTTCAGCTGTTAGGGCATGATAGAGATTTCTTTGTGCTTTCCGTACTATTTTACCTGAACATATATTTTCATATTGGCTTAGAGAAATGCTGTGCATTTTGGTAGCCTTAGTCATGTGCAGGTAATTAGATTTACATTGATTAGAATCAAATAGAATTTGGAATTTAGTTTTTCAGTTGTGCACTGTATTAGGGTTTTCTAGAGGAACAGAATCCATAGGATGAATGTATGTAAAAGAATTTATTAAATTAACTTATATTAAAATGGTAACGGCCTCACACTTGAGGCTCAGAAACAGGTAGTTAGTTCCTCGGTCCTTCTCACTGTGTGCTTCAGCAGCTGAGTCCTCTCACAGGAGCTGTTTTCTCGCTGTTGGGAGCCCAACAACTTGATCTGTCCAACAGAGAGTGTCTCACCAGTCTGGGTCTGGTGCTAAAACCCTGGAAGGTTCCCAGAGAGCCATTATTCCTTAACCTATGCTGGAAGCCTGGAGAGCCTGGTTCTGCTGTCAGCCCCGCAGTAGAAGGGAAAGCCAAGTTACCAAAGGCATTGGTTTCCTCCTGCCATGCCCCTTTTTGTCTGAGCTGCTGCCAGAAGGTGCTGCTCGAACTCTGAGTGAGTCTCTTATATCAACTAAGGCGGGACAGTTCTTCAGTTGAGGCTCCCTACTCAGGTGATACTGATTGAATTGTGGCAAGTTGGAGCATCACACAGTTCCAGCGTTTGAAGTACTCAGCCATATGTGGCTAGTGGGCTACCATAATATCACGCACATAAACTATTTCTGGTATCACTATTGGACAATGCTAGTTTAAAGAATGGCTTTTGACTATGAAATAAACAAGCCATATTTTCTGTGCAAATGACCTGGACAATATGGAACATAAATTTCACTCTGTAGTCTTTTTGTCCAATTTTCTTTCTTTCCTTTCCGTTTATTAATTAATTATTTTGCTGGGTGATATGGTGCTACACACCTTTAATCCAGCACTTAGGAGGCAGAGGCAGAGGCAGAGGCAGAGGCAGACGCATCTCTGTGCATTCAGAGCCAGTCTGGTCTACAAAGCAAATTCCAGGATACCCAGGACTGTTACACAGAGAAATCCTGTCCCAAAAAACAAAAACAAGTTGTTTTTTTTTCTCTATTTATTCATGTTTTATTTTATACATAAGTACTTCCCCTGCATTTATATATGCAGACCATTTGCATGTCTGGTGCCTGAAGTGGTCAGAAGAGGGTATCAGATCCTCTGGAGTTACAGATGGTTGTGAGCCTCCATGTTGGTACTGGGAATCAAACCCCATTCTTTTGGAAGATCAACAAGTACTGTTAACCACTGAGCCATCTCTCTAGCCCCAGTATCAAATTTTCAATGGGATTAAAAAGAAAAGCTGCTTAAATATAGAAGTATACCAGTATTTAATAAGATTTTTATTATGGAGTTATTTTGATAATGATATAATTGCAAATAATAGTGATTCATGTGCCCTTATCTCTTTGGGGATGTATTCTTCAGATGGGTTTTTGTTGGTTTTTTTAGATACAGGGTCTTAATTATTCAGCCTTGACTGGCCTGGAACTCACTTTGTAGACCATGCTCATCTCAAACTCATAGAGATCTGATTGCCTCTTAGACGCTGGGATTAAAGGAATGAACCATCACATCTGGCTAGATGGGCTGTTTAGAAGTGCTCTGTGGTTGGTGGATGGAAAGGAACGATAGAGTGAAGGGAGGATTCCACCTTGGATATCAGCTTAGCACCCCAGATGACACTGAGCGGCATGTAAAATTAATTTGCCTGTGTGATACAGGGCTTTCTAATTAGTTTGGAATCAGTTACCACTTAACACTGAATGCTCAGCTTTGCTCTGCTAACTCATATGTCTCCAAGACTTTTGTGACATCACTTACAAAAAGTGTAAACTGGCAATTAATGCCTAGAGATCACAACATCCTGTTGGAAATCAAGTCACCGAATCATCATGGTATCTTTGAACAGACTTTGGGACACATTTTTATCAAGTGTAGCAGTATATACACTGGATGTCAAAAGATGATTTTTTAAAAAAATGACACGCAAAGATTGAGACCAAAATGAAACAGTAAACTGTGGCACTTTGGTTAAATTACTGTTTCTATTCTGAGATGAATGGCCAGAGATAGGCTCATCTGGTTTTCAGCTGCATAGTGGTCTAGCTGGATTGCTATGGAGTGTTGTAGCATTGTTTCATGTTGAAAGATAGCATTGCTGTTGATAGGTGAGTCCACCTAGACTTGTTAGGTGTAGTTTTTAGTCAGTGGAAATTACTTTAGCAATTTGGATGTTAAAATTCTAAAAAATCAGAAATTCCTTAGGGTGTCAGGTGACCATATTCTGGGAACTAGCTCTTTGCTACCCATGACTCAAGCTTTACTTTCTCAGTGCTGATGGGCAAATGTAGAAACATTTAGAATTGCACACAATTACATGTACTGTTCGGTGTAGTCAGTCTCTTTATAATCTGCTTAAGGTTTGATTTAGCTATCAACTATGAAATATTCATGTTATTTCTTAGTAGTTTATCACATTAACACATGGGGTATATTTTCTTATTTCTTTTATTTTTCAGTTAAAATAGTGAGAGGAGGGGAAAAACAAAAACAAAACAAACTTCCTTACAGTGAGCACCGAACTACAACCTAAGTATTTTTAAAGCCATGTACATTCTTCTTTATACATTCATGACAAAGTAAACATTTCTTCTTGCCTGTATAAGCCAGCACTTAGAATGAAAAAGTAAACATCTGCTTTCAGTGCTCAATTCAGCATCTGTTTGCTGAGCGCTATTGTGTGTTTTAGTCTCCGTATGTTGAGCTCTCTGGGCCACATGTATATAATGAGTGCTCAGACACATCCACACCTACTGAAATGAAAACACTGCCACTGTTGTGGCCGCCTTTCCACCCGAAGCATGTGATGCCACCAAACTCAGCTTTGGAACTGGTGTTGAAACCTGCTTATTCTAAGAAGGTGTCGCTGTGCTTTTGACGGGCTGATTTTTGCTCCTTTGCTCTGATAAACAATTACTTGTCCGGTGATTAATTACCCATGTGCTTTCTTCTTTCCCAGGAAGATTCAGAGAGGGCCAGGCATTCTCACCGGCCTGGCCATCACCGTCCTTATCTGGTTTGTAGTGACATATAGCCTGCCTGTAGTGCTGTTCCTGTTTGGCTTTTTGTAGCCACAGACTTTTAATATGTTTCCTTTATTTTTATCAGGGAGTTGAGGATACATTGTCTCTTCGAAGCCTTGGCAGCCACAGGGTTGGTATTCTAAGCTGTTAACACGGAATAGCAAAGCTTTAACAATGAGCTTCCCTCAGCATCAGTGATTATCTGAGCAATCTGACAGTGCCCACTTATGCCTTTACCTTTAACATAAGTGAACAACACTGGCCAAAGCTCTTTAATAGAAAGAGATGCTATCTCTCAAATCATTGCTAGAAGCGAATCAATTCTAAAATCTTGAGTATTTTTATCTTAACACAGGTCTGTTCTTGTTTTCTGTAGAAATACCTTTGATTTCAGAAAAGTATCACAAAATGATAAGATTGAGTTTTATAGAATAACATCTGCCTTGTCTTAATTTTTAGATTTTTCCTACTTCCGTATCTTAAACTGATAATCTATTGAATGAGCATAGCTTTGGGGCTTGTCTGGCTAATTACAATTATAATTACATGGAACTATATTGACTTGAAATTTTTTCTTGCCATATGTATAGGAATTATGCTTTTATATTTTAATTAATATTTTATAATGTGCCAGCCTTTTAGCATAGATCATTGTAAGCAGAGTGATGATTTGCTGCCTAAAATCCTGTGTGTTGTACTGAAGTACAACCTCTCCTCTTGCTTCTTAAAGAATTGTGTCTTAAAACAGTGTTTTGCATTTGTATTATTTTTTTCATCAGTAAAACCATCTTTCATATCAAGGGGTGTGTTTTGTTCTAACTCTGATTTCCTTCTTACTTTATATAAAAATGTACTACTTAAGCTGTTCTGACAAACCAGGTATTAACATTTTTATAATTGTAAGTTCTCCATTACACTCCAATACATTATTTTCTTTTGGTGTATGCATTCTATTGTATTTCCAGAATAACTTTATAAACTAGTTTCACGTCATAAGTGCTCTGTTTAGTTATAAATTGTAGATTTGTTTTTTATAGTATTTGTAAATATTTGAAGAAGTTTACAATAACCAGTGGCTTAATAGGGGGCTAGAAAGCTGACTCAGCAGTTCAGAAGCAATTCTTAGCCCCCACGTGGCTGCAGCTCACAACCATCTCTAACCCCTGGCCTCTGCAGGCACCAGAGACACACAGTGTGCACACACGTACAAAAACACTCCTTTAAATATGTTTTTTATGTGTGTGAATGTTTTTTGGAAGGAAAATGTATGCATTTGTCATGCTTGCTGTTAGAGGTACTTTTTCTTTCCTCTTTAAACAACTTTTTAACAAATTATATAATGAGTCTACCAACTTGACAGTCAAGAGCTATGAAATATTCCCTCTTCCCTTTGTGACCGGTTTCTTTGCTTTCAGTTATAATGCTCCTAGTGTGAGTTTTCACAATTGATTATTGAGATGAGCATTTGCAAATTTGCATATGACCTTGGAGAAGCTGGATTATGTTAGTTGATCTTTAAGTTTGACCTAAGTCAGGGAACTTTAAGTCAAATCTCCAAATAAAAGAAATCTGCCATTAAGCTGATAAGGAACTATTTACCTGGCGTGGGTATAAAGCTACCAGGTAGATATCCCTTTAATGGAAATTGTATCAGTAAACATTAGAGATACAGTTTTAATTCTTCTTTTTAAAAATTATGGTAGCGGTAAAGATGTGTTCCCATGAGTAGAAGAAAACTCTTCATTCGTGTTCTTTGAGGTTTGTTTTAGGTATATTGTTGCTGGAGTGCATATCTGCACCATGTGTGTACAGTGCCTTCCGAGGCCAGAAGAGATTGTCAGATCCTCTAGATCTGGAGTTACAAATGATGTGAGCCCCAGTGTGGGTCCTAGGAATTGAACCCAGGTCCTCTGAAAGAGCAGGCAGTACTATTAAATGTTGAGCCATCTCTCCAGCCCCGACTTTTTGTATTTTTAAAAGTTAATATATGAGTGCCAAGGATATAGCTAAGTGATAGAGTTGTTGACTAGCATGTGCAAGGACCTGGGTATAATCTCCTTCACTGGAAGGAGAAAAACCTCATGTGAACTTGAAAACTAATAAAGGAGGCTGTATTGTCCTATATGTAGGTGTACGTATTCAACATATTTTACATGAATTGACCTTTACAAAATTAAGTCTGAAAGCTCATTAATAGATTGTATTTCTTCTAAACAGTGTTCTTTGTTTTTAATGACTCTGGGGATAGAACCCTATTCCAAGTGCTCCTCCAATGAGTCTGGTCAACATCTCCCAGCCCTTGAGATTTTTTTTTTTCTGTTTTGTTTTAATTATATGACATTAGGAATTCCAATCATTTGGAGTTTTTGTTTGTTGTTTTATTTTGGTGATTAGACTCAGGGTATGTGGTAAACCGCTCAGCTATCACTAGCTCTGGATTATTGGCTTTTAAAATGACTTTACCATTTCCATTAACCTGAATATGTCAGACAATTTTTGTCCCCCATAAAAATAAATATGGTGGTTTAAAATGGAGACCTAAAAATTCTTATGGTTTACCATGTAACTTAGAGGTTTCAGTGTTTCTTTACTTGAGTTTTTAAACTTAAGAGTTATGTATTTAAAAGACTCACACTGGCTTCACATTTCTTTGGTTTTGAAACGTTAGCAGTATGTGGATGTGGGTCAGGTACACTTAGGGTTAGTTTTTAGGACTGTGAACTTTCCTTTTGGCCAGTTGGTTAGCTGTCAGAAAGTACTCTGTTGGAAGGTGCCCTACCAGAAGCTGTGTGGGCTGAAATGCTATAGACATTAAGACTAAAAGTCAAAAGGATAAAGTAAACCTGAGCCTGAATCTAGGCTCAGGAGAGGGAGGAGTAAGTCAGAGTCTTGGAGTGAGAAACGAAACCTGGTGTGCTTACTTGTTACGTGCGAATAGATTGCTAACAGTATGGATACCAGTATCTGCCTTAAAAATAGTATAAATGCTTGATTATTGCTTTGGGTACTGAGTACAAGAAGACAGTAGTAGAAATCTCAAATTAGGAAATAGTGTGATCTTGAATCATAGGATAATCGCTATTCCTCATTAGTGAAGATTTTTACTATTCATTTAGTTCCTTGTTGTATATTAGTGGTTTGAAATAATTGTGGTGTATTCAATTTTTAAATTATTCTTTAAACTTGTCTTTTGTTTAATTTCACTGAAGAGTTCATCGAAGGATATTACTGGGACACACTGGAGCAGAGCCAGTACACCCAAAAGGAGAGACATGATGGTGTGTAATTCTGAAATGTGTGGTCTTAGATTTCTATGTATTTATTGTTGATTTTCAGTGTTTTGGACATAGGAGTGACAGAAATAGTCTAGTAACACTTGAGAGTTCCTACTCTGTTTTCTTGTGAAAACTGTAAAGCAAGTTCCTCTGAGAATGGAACTTTCCCCCTTTTAGATTCTGTTCTAGTTTTCCTTTCTGTCACTGTGATAAAACACTCTGACAGAGCAGCTTAGGGGAGGAAAGGACTTATTTGGTTCACACTTGTAGGTCCCTGTTCCATCATCGAGAGAACGCAGGGCAGGAACCCAAGCAATAGTTTGGAGCAGAAACCTGGAGTAACTGCTTGCTGGCTTGCTCAGACACACGCTTAGCTAGCTCGCTGGGATGGTGCTGCCCATCCTGGGCTGGGCCTCCCACATCAGTTAATAAGACAACCCCTCTCCCTTCCTTCCTTCCCTCCCTCCCTCCCTCCCACTGTATGCCCACAGGCCATTGCACTAGGCAGTTTTCAACCAAGGCTTTACTCTCCGGTGACTATGGGCCACTCAAGTTGTCAAAGTTCTGAGAGAAATAGATTATAATAGCATCCTGGGAAGTCTTTTAGCCTGAGTCCTTAATGTTCTCTATTTTCCATCTTTTGATAAATCATTTGTTTTTAAGTGACATTGCTACCTGCTGCCATATATCAGCTGCTATTTATCAGAAAGGTTCTTTTTGTGCGCCCAGTTGTTAATGTATCCACTTCATGGATTCTCTACCATATATATTCTGGAATTTTAAAAACTTAGCTGGACCTTGCATTATATTTTGAAATAAGTTTTTTGATTCCACTTGTTAAAAATCTTTGCCTTTGGAGCCGGGCGGTGGTGGCGCACACCTTTAATCCCAGCACTCGGGAGGCAGAGGCAGGCGGATCTCTGTGAGTTCGAGGCCAGCCTGGACTACCAAGTGAGTTCCAGGAAAAGGCGCAAAGCTACACAGAGAAACCCTGTCTCGAAAAACCAAAACCAAAACAAACAAACAAACAAACAAAAAAAACCTTTGCCTTTGTAAAATGCCATGACAGCTCCAGAGAGGGTGAGAAGGCAGGTTTACCTCATTGGGGTAGGATAATTTAGGTGTAAGGATGTGCAACTTAAGTACTGTATGGTACTCTATGTTTTGGTCATGGATTTTTTTTTTTTAAATGAGAGAAATACTTTGGGAAAAGAAATAAATTAAACTTCTATAGAGAAGGGCCTTGATTTTCAGAGAAAAGTCACATACAGCATTTTCAGTGAATTTATACCAGTGGTAGAATTGCTGGTAGAATTGTACCACAGCCTTGTATTAAATGGAATGCATTTTTGAGGATTCTGCTATACATGTTGTAAGTGATTGTCTAAATTAATATGAATAGACAGGCTTTGTTTTATTTGAACTATTATTTTAATGTCTTACTAAAATTGGATTGCATATTTTCATCTTCTAGGGTATTTTAAGCTTTATAAAATTGTGAAATATATTTTATTCCATTATCTGGTCTATATGTATAGATTTCTAGTTCTCTGTGTATATGTCTGTATGTATATGTGTGTATATCTAGATATATAAATGTATTGAAACAAGTTTCAGAAAATTATATATAAAACTAAGTGTATGTATGTATAACACATATTTGTTTTTTATTTTTTTGAGATAAGGTCTCACTGAATGGCTAGGCTAGTCTTGAACTCAGTTTCCTACTGCCTCAGCCTACTGAGTGCTGGGATCAGAGCTGTGTGCCACCATGCCTAGTCCTGGAGTGACAGCAGCTCTTCTGTGCACAATACGCTGATATTTTCTCCTGTATTTCATTTGTTTAACTGTCCGTTTAAGAGAGAATCAACTTAAATTCAGGAAAATGTTACTTTGGGTCCAATTTTTAAATAATATTACCAGAAGCCCTAAATCAGTATAAGAATGTAAAGGAAGATATTTTTACAAAATAGTATTTTTAAATGCTTTGTGATATACATTTACCTTCAAGTAAGATTGTTTAAAAACTTGTAAGCTAGAATGCTGAAAAAGCGTTGTTAGGAGACTAAATCCATTCATTTTCTTGTGTTTAAAATATGATATGCATATTAAAGGAATCCGCATGGAATGTGCATTCCCTGGTATCATTAATTTTATATAATTTTTGATTTGTATTTAATGTCATTTGATTATCTACTGTGCATTCCACATTTTGTTCTGGCCAAGTTTCTCATTTTGTTGAGCATTTTCTTGAGGAAATGCTTTTTAGGTGTATGTGTCTAAGGCTCAAGGAAAGGAAGTACCCTGGCTTTGATTCCAAGATTCTTCTTTCGCAAGCCAGATCAGCTGTGTGCTCTTCCTTGCTTTTGCTATTTTTCAAACGATGGTAAACAGTGGCAGCAGTCACAGAGATGAGGAGGAAAGCATCTTTGACCTTAAAATGGTTTATGCTTAACATTAAAACTGCCCTTAGGCTGTATTGTTCCATAATATCCTAAGGCTGAATCATTTTACCATTGCTGATTCTAAATTCTGTTATTTGAAAGGAAAACAGAGGCTGAGGTGTATCTCGTGATAAAATGCTTGCACAACATGGACAAGGCTCTAAGTGCAGCTAGAAGTCGGGGTGGGGGAGAATACAGCCTTCTGTATGTTGAGGATGGGGCCATGGGTGCATAGCACTGTGCCTGGCATAAAACAAGTTAATTACACATGCCGTTTAGCAATAACTTCTACTAAAAATGTAAAGGTATATCTAAATATAATAGCTTTTGCATTAGTAATATTTTGCTTTTGAAGTATCACTGTGTTGATTGTAATAATGACAAATATTGCTTTTTTTTCCCTTATGTTCCTGACTTTGGCAATGCAACCAACTTTCCCATTTTTCTCAAGTGCAGTATGATACCCTCAAGGACAGATCGTCAAGGCTTTCATCATTAGTATGTAGTGCATGACTTTGTGTTATGCGTGAGGCTTTTCTTTCTAAACACCAGTTGTTGCTAATCATAGATTATGACTAACTTTCATGGTTTTGTTAGGATCTTTTTTGGGGGAAATGTGTAATAAAACAAAAACCATTGTTTTTGCAATTGTGGCATAATCTGTTATTGGAATAATAGTTTTTCCCATAGACTTCAGGATCAGGCTGAGAGCATGGCTCAGTGGTAAAGCGCTTCCTTAGCATTGCAAGGCTGAATTTGCTCCCCAACACTACAAAAACCAAAAAACAAAAAAAATGCCTCAAATGGATCAAACATTTACTGGAAGAGCCAAGATTTCTAACTCAGTAGTTCAGTCGCAGTTCCATCTTCCAAAGAAGAGCTGGTTCCCTGTGCTCACCTACTGTGTACGAGGGCTGCTTTGCTTATTTTTTAACTTACTGCTTATTTATTTTGCTTGTGTATGTGTGTCACATGGCACACACGTGGAGGTCAGAGGACAACTTGTTGGAGCTGTTTCTCTCCTGCTACCATGTGGGTCCCAAGGATTGAACTCAGATCATCTAGCATCAGCCTTGGCAGCAAGCATCTTCATCCTCTGAGCCATCTCTCTCTCCAGCCCTTCTGATAGTGTTCTGGTACACCCTGAGCTACAGTAGCACAGACCTGTGCTCATTTCATGTGTCATAGGCTGGCAGGTTACTAAATAAAACATCCAGCAGTGAGGGGTGGCAGCTGAAGATGCCCAAGAGTTTTGGCTTGACATATTGAATTAGCTAAGGAAGTCAAACTGGCTTGTTTTCTTTGGGTTATGATTATGTCGGTAGATTGCCCGAGTTTCTAGACTGCGTAGTTTTCACTTAGATGTTCATAGTAAAGTATACAAGAATATTCACAATGAGAAAAATGAACTTATCCTTACTGTTGAGGATCTGACTGTGTGAAGTGGTTTTCCTAGGACAGCCTGTTGCCCTTGGCTGGTCTAGGGTACTTGCAACGCACAGTCTCACTACCTAGATTGAGTTCATTGTCTCTTGGTTGTTGTTGTTGAGTAATAGTCCTGACCTTTGTCCCCTTGGGAGAGGTGATGTTTTTATATAATCACCTTTTCAAAGTACTTTGTGTAAGCTTAAGTACATACATTTTAGGTATTTCTCTTCTGAATGGCATATGCCATGGATCTATTAACTTGGCCTGATGGCTGGAGAGATAGCTCAAGGGTTAGGAGTACTTACTGCTCTTCCAGAGGGCCCGAGTTCAGGTCTCAGCATCCACGTTGGCTAGCTCACAACGACCTCTAACCCAGTTCTGGGGACCCATGCTTTCAGTGGCATTTGCACACATAGACCATATACACACAAACACACACACATAAATTAAATCCCCCCAAAAGAGTGTTGTTTTCAGTAATGAAATGTTCTTTTGGCTTATTTGCAGCATTGTTTTTGCTTTTAGATATGATGACTAAGTTAGGAGGAGGAATAGACTCCCATCACCTATAGCTTCCTAGAGAAAAAGAAATGGGGGACGAGACTCAAGTAAGGTGTATAGTGAAGGTCCCCTGTAGTCGGATTTTTCTTTGGGCTACCAGCCTACAAATAATGACATGGAGACTTACTATTAATTATGAAAGCTCGGCCTTAGCTTAGGCTTGTTCCACTAGCTCTTATAACTTAAATCAACACATTTATTTTCATCTCCATTCTGTCACGTAGCTCATTGCCTTGTCTCTCCATACTGCCCATGCTGCTTCCTCCATGGCTGGCTGGCAACTTAGCCGCCTTCTTCCTAGAGTTCTCTCTGCCTAGAAGTCCTGCCTATACCTCCTGCCTAGCTATTGGCCTTTTGGCTTTTTATTACACCAATCACAGCAATACATTTTTACACAGTGTACAGATATCCCACAATAGTCCCCATAGACATCCTTCTGACTCTGGGTCCTAATTAGGTTCCCTTTAGCCAGCCAGACTCCAGGTTAGTTAGTTAGAGAGGTAAGAGAGGGTCATGTGTCTCCAGACCACATAGCTCAGCCTTCCAAGTTTAGTCCATCTGTTATGACAGGAAGTAGGTTGCATGCATACTACTCTGTATCATATGTACCTTTGCTATTATTTTATGATGAACTTCATTCTTCAAATCTCACTACAGGACCATTAAAGTTAACTTACAGTTTTTACTTACAGAATTATTCTTACAGTCACAGCTATGGGATGAAGAAGCGATCTTCTAGTTCTCATAAAGACCCCCTGGTTAGTTCTGCTTTGGAAGTTTGGTCTAGTTGTGATATTATGGACAGCACCAAATTGCAGGTGGATTTCATTCTCACAGTTTGTTTTTGGAGACTTGGCATGTATTTTCCGGTAGAAACAGTCAAGTGTGTGACAGAGAGTTCCCGTGTGAGAACTCCCAACCCTTTGACCTGTGTGATTGCCCTGCAGAGCCAACAGGCTTTCCATTCCAGTCACCGGGTGCTCAGGACCCTTTCCTCCCTTAGTGTGCTCTTGGCAGAGATGTAGTCCCTAGCTCCCTGACAATTCTGGGTTCCCTTGGAGCACTGGGAGGATTTTGCTAGAAGGGAAGAGGGAGGGAGAATGTGGCTGAAGGCAGATTACAGAGAGGCCATGGTGTATGGGACATGGCAGTTTTGTGGCCGGGTGAGGTGTGAGTGATGGCAAAAGGCAGGGCCAAGAGTGCTGCGGGTGGGGTGGAAGCAGGGCCTGCAAGTAGTGTCAGCAATAGGGAAGGGAGACGCTAGGCCGGGATCGTACCTTTGCTTAACCCCTAGCAGGAGGTGGGTTTGATGGACGATTTCTCTAACCTAGCAAATTATAGAAGTGCTAAATATTCAGTGGGCCTTGGTTTTGCAGGGGCATTCTTAACTCTAGAATGAGAATAACTCAGTTATTTGTTTTTCATTTTTATCCGAGGATGTTTTATCTTGTTTTTAAAGTAATAAGTAGTAGTGACCTTGTTTGAAGTAGCTGACCTTTGATGCCCACCCTTTACAAGCAAGTTTAAACCGTTGCTCCTTGCCCCTCCCTTGCTGTGACCCAGGGCTTTAAAGGCATTGCCCTGGGGAAGAAGGAGCCTTGACAGTATCAGATTTTGCCTGTGTGTTCAAATTTTGTCTTGGTGTGTGGTCAAAACATCAAAACATCTAACCTGAGAAAAATGGTTAAATTTTGATTTTTGCAGAGTGGCCTCTATTTTGACCAGAGAAACTATAGCAGTCTTAGACATAGCAAGCCTGCCTCGTCCTACTGCTTTCGGGTTTGTCTAAAGTCTTTTGGTCTCATGTATCTTCCTCACCTTTAACACTTCTCTAATCCCCCATTTCACATTTTAACCATTTGTAACTAATCTGGAATGGTCTGGTATACCAGTTTTGGTCACTGATTCATAGAGTTCTTGAGTGTGTTTTCCGTGAGAACTGTTAAATCACCGTGTGTATAATGAAGATTGCAAACAGAAAAGGAATTTGTACAGTGAACATTGTGTTCTACTGCTTAGATTATATAATTTATTTCCTAGTCTCATAATTGTTTGTCTATTACTTTATCATTCCATCTTTTGTTTTTGTTTGTTTGTTTTTAAGACAGTCTCACTATGTGTGTAGCCCAGACTCAAACTCAAGATTCATCTGCCTCAGCTTCCTACTTGCTGATGTTAAGGTGGGGACTACAATGCCAGCTTCTATCTAGTTTTTTTTTATTCATTTCAAAGTAAGCTATAGGTATCAATCCTTTCCCTGATAGATACTCTTAAAAAGTTGACACGTGAAAATAGAAGCTATGTATAGGATGAAAGGAATGTTATTACTTGTTAGAATATTAATGTAAGCCAGGCATCGGTGGCACACGCCTTTAATCCCAGCATCCGGGAGGCAGAGGCAGGTGGATCTCTGTGAGTTCAAGGCCAGCCTGGTCTATAGAGCAAGATCCAGGACAGGCAACAAAACTACGCAGAGAAAACCTGTCTCGAAAAAAAGCAAAACAAAGCAAAAAGAATATTAATATGAATCTTGTTTTTCTTTTGTCTGTTTTGGGGTTTTGCTTGTTTTTGAGACATGGCGTGTCTCTGTAGCCTACTCATCCTGCCTCAGCTACCCGTGTGCCAGGGTTGCAGGCTGGTATTACCATAATCATCTAGAATCTTGTTTTTTTTTCCCCAAGACATTGAACATTCAAAGCACACTGTAATGTGTGGTACCCAGTACATTTAAAAGTATTCAGGAATGGGAGCTAATCTACATGATAGAATAATTCATTAGCACATACGAGGCTCTGGATTCAATTCTGTACACCGGAAAACACAGTCAGCTGAAAAACCTGCCTGCATATACCATTTCACTATTCTTGTTTGTCTAGGTTTAGTGAAAAAGAACTGAAAATTGTGTCTTGAGTGATACCAGGGAAAGAAATGTAATTTCTCTATAAAAAGTACTTTTAGTGCATGGACTCAAGTGACTAGTGCAGCTTATCTGGTTAACTAGCATGCTTTTGAAAGATAGGCTTTCAAATCTGTTTGGAAAAAGATAGTGATAACAGTAACCTGGCCAAACCCATTGGGAGTCTGTCACAAAATATTCGACAATGTCCCAGGAACTACTTACTGGTGACTGGTCTGAGGCCACCATTTGGCACACTCCCACTGCCACGTCCCTCTTTTCTTCAGTGCTTTCCTGGGTCCCCGTCTCACATCCTGCCAATCGTTTTCTAAAACCAAAAGGTTGTACATGATAGAAGACTGCTAGCGCTGATTTCCTTTCTTACCCCTACAGTTTGCATTGCAGTGACTTCTGTCTTACTCATGTGTTTTTACACTACTCTAAGCACTTGGAGCTTGCTAATGAGTTATGAATCTGTAACCATAACATAAAGTCTTCTGCCTGCATGCTGGTGAGGTGCATTCTCCTGTGTTTCTGTTGTTGCTTATTTCTACTGTTCTGCCTCTCTTTGCAGTCTTCTTCCCTGTGCAGTGACCCGCTGGGGACATCTCCGAGTAAGAACAGGGTCAGTACTTTCGAGGAGCGTATGGCCGTCACAGCTGCCCCTGCCTTTCTTTAGGTTTAATTAGTGCGCTTATTCCGTAGGCCTCCTCTACTGCAAATACTGGTCTTCTGAGAAGTACCAGCCTGGTTTGTATTTCCCTCTTCCAGTGTGTGCTCTGTGGTGGGGTCGCTGTCATGGTGCTGACTGAGCTGTGTGGCCTTTCTGCCACATGTACTGCAGAGTAAGCTGCCTGTGCTTAGGTTACAAAACCCAGGGCATGAAAAATAATCCTGTTCTCTTTGCCAACGTAGAAATGGATGACCTCTGGTAGCTGATGTTAAGAGTCTGTTTCCATGGGTTCTGCCACATTCACTTAGTTTTCTTTGGTATGGCTTTGACCCTAGGCTGTGGCAATCAAAAGCCGACTAAGCAAGCAGAGTTCAAAGCATAACCAGCAGCTTGTGTGACGTGCCGGCTGTTGGTGCTTCTAGCTGTTGGACGTTCTGTGACTGGCTTCAGAAGACTGGGCCAGACTGCTTACCCCTGTTTACTTCCTCACCGTTTGTTCTTTTAAGAGAATAAATTGATTAATATTACCTTTCTCAAGTTATTACATGAGGATGAAGGAAATATTGTAGTGTTTTTTAAACCAAGTATATTGTTGGAGTGGTAATGAAACTGGCACAGTGAATCTTGTATGTAAGTGAAGATAACACACCGTCCGCAAACATTTTTTTGAATTATGAACTGCCAAAATAATAAAGATATTTTCAAAATAATTCCAGTACTAAATAAATAAGTAATATTCTTTTGTTCTTCAGGCATCATTGTATGATGGTGGATTATATAACCCCTATGGTTCTCGAACTGTAAGTCTAAATGGGAAGGGAATAGATACAGGAGGGGACAAGCAGTCATTTAGTCTGGCCCTGTACTAAAGCTGTGACCCATTCATTGAGCCAGCTGTGAGAAGGTGACTACTGGAGATTATGAGTTAACATATGAGGGAGTCTATAGAGAAACTCTTGGGGTATCTCCTCCCCTGTTGAGGGTGGGTGTGAGGTAGAGCGCCAGGTGAAGAAAAGCAGCTATTTTCACCTTGGGCTCCAGAGTCAAGTTGAGAGTAGGGTCACTGTATTCCCAGCAGACAAACTGAGCTGGCCATTGTTGTAAAGCCTTTCTTTCTTCTTGGAAACTTTATAGCCATCTGAATACAGTTACTACTCATCGAGAGCAAGTTCCTCCCGAAGCAGTCCTGTGGTGAGCTCCCTAGCTTCTCTGCACACTTTAGGCGTGTTTAGTTGCTCTGCATTCTCACTGTAGAGCAGAGTAGTGTGTTTCATCATCTTGTGCATGGATTATGTGCTCCCACGTCCGTAAAAATCAAATACTAATGTGTGCTAACTGACTGTTTTTGTGTGGACCCAATAATTTCTTAACTGAGTCTGGAACCGAGGCCATTGGACAGGCTTAAAGTTTTTGTGAAACCCTTTGCCTTTCAAGTACTGATCATTCCTGTTGGGTGTGCCGCTCTGGGCTCCCCCTGTGTATGTCCGTGCACTGCCATTTCCCTTGATTAGCAGCCCTCTGTCTGTGGAGTGATGGGAGAAGTAAACAGACCTGTTTAAAGTGGTCTGCACCACTACTTACTCTTTCTGGGGCATTACAGTTTCCTTTGCAGTTTATGTAGGTAAGTAATATTTGTAAAGAACAAGTACAGAGCAAACTTCCCAGCAAGTCCTTACATGCAACCTGTTCACAGTCATGCTTTCAGAGATGTTTTGGACATGTATGAGTGCTTTTCATTTTGGCCACAAATGGCTTCCTTCTAGTATGTGTTACTCCTTTATGTTTTCTTAAGGTATCTTTCTGTGTCAGTGCATACAGATTTATAGCATCTTTCTTTTTTTTTTTTTTGCCATTATTACCATTATTTTAAACAATTAAGCTGTGCCCCCTTTTCAATTATTTTCCCTTTGAGATAGTTTCATATCATCACATCTTTTTAATCGCAGTGTACTAGCTAGTGAATGCATAGATATCCATTTTACAAATCATTTTAGTATTGATGGTGATTGCGATGGTCAGACATTTTCTGTATGTACACATGAGCTGTGCATGCACATATGGAGGTCGGAGGTCGGAGTCAGGGGTCTGTGCTGTTACTCCTCTCTACCTTATTTGTTTAGACAAAGTCTCACTTAACCTGGAGATAGATCACTGTTTTGGCTAGACTGGCTGGCCAGCAAACCTCGAGAGCCACTGTCCCCCGGTCACACACTGCCGCGCCTGGCTTTTACACGGTGCTGGGAGTCCAAAGTAAGGCTTCATGCTCGCACAGCATCTCCCCAGCCTTGTGATGAACATTCCGACATTCTCTCTGCTCTGCCTCTGCCTCTCTCTTCCTTGCACACCCACACACGTGCCCAGACAGTGTACTTACATGAGTATATCTGTAAGACAAATTGTGTATCAGGAAATGTTAAGAAAAGAACAGCATATGCATTTTAAAAAATAGATTATTTTTGTTTTATGTATATAAATGTTTTGCTTACATATACATGTGTGTACCAAGTACTTGCCTGTGTCCACAAAGGCATGTACTAGAAGAGGATATTGTATCCTGGAACTGTACTTATAGGAGATTGTGAGCTATCATGGCTGCTGGGAAACAAACCTAGGTTCTTTGCAAGAACAGCAAATGATATTAACTATTGAGCCATCTTTCCAGGCGTTCTATTTTTTGAGGCTGGGTCTCACTATGTAGCTCTAGATAGTCTGGAACTTACTCTGTAGACTAAATTGGCCTCGAACTCACAGAGATCCATCTGCCTCCGCTGCCTTCTGAGTGCTGGGATTAAAGGTGTGGGTCACCATACTCAGAGCATATGCCTTTTAATTTTGCTATACATGACCATATTGATAACTAAAAAGACTGCACTCATTTACATTTCTAAAGCAATTGATTAGGTGTTTAGGCATTAGTTATTACTATCTTGTTATTCTTACAGATTGTCCCAAACTGGAGAAATTAATAATTATTACTAATCATTAAGATTACTTTTTATCAGAGAAAAGATAAGTTCTGTGGGCTTTCTTTTACATTTATGTTTGTAGTTCTTGACCCTCCAGACTGGCAGTTCTCAGAGATACCACCTTTGTACTTAATAAAAACTAGCATGGGTGTATTTAGGGCATAATGCCATTTTTACAAAAGAAGGTGTTTACTCTTAACCAACTGTATACTCAAATTTTAAGTTGGCAATTTTCAAACCTGGTGATATTTTTAATATGTCAAATATAATGTCCCCCTGCAAAAATTTTTGATAATTTTTGTATTTTCAAAAACACAACAGTTCAGGTCCTTGTCCTTGTGTGCTGGCTAGAATCTGTTGCATTTGCAATTTGGGTTTAGAATGACTACCTTAGTGATGTCAAAATGGCATCTTAGTGACATCAGAATGTGGATAAACTAGTATGCCAAGGGTGAGTTCTGCAGTGGAGCGGGAGGGACACGGTCCTTTGAGGGGATAAGAATAGTACCGTCACCGCCAGCTGCACAGGAACGAGTACCAGGAAATGAGTCACTGCCTCAGGCTTTGCTGGTAGGAACTTCTTTGACATATGTTATTTCATTTTAAAACTTTTTTTTCCTTTCTCAAATTGAAATCCTAAGTGTATTTATTGATCTCTCAAGGGACTTTACAGATCTGCAAGTTTAAAAAACCATGACCTCCCTAGCTGATTTTGTCTAGTTTACTGTTACCCTTGCCAGTGTTTAACTTAAATAAAAGAGAGTTTTGCTTTATTCTTTGTGCTTTTGGGAAGTATCTTGATTTTTTAGTGATTCTTCATTATGCCTTATAGCAGCTTGGCTCCTGCCAATTAATGCTGTGTAGAGTGGCCTCCTGAAACTCTCGCAGTGTGTTTGTCGTCTGTGAGACCGTTATAGAAACTGAATCTTTTTCACTTTCTGTAGTTCATCGATGATGATGCTGCAAGCATTGTGTCTGCTGAGCGTGCCGGTCGTGGGCGAAGGGACAGTGTGGTGAGCATGGTCTGCATGCAAACAAATACAGCTTTTACAGTGACAGCAGTGTGTGATTATGTGAAATTTACTGCAAAGGAAAATTTGTGTTTTCCTTAAATACAGTTTATGTGAACAGTTTGCTTTGTAATGAGGCATAGACTCATGTGTCTTAGGTACAAATCATTTATTGAAAACTTTCACTTTATTTGCTGTTTTTTATGTACACATTTTATCTGCTTGTTTTTCAAAAAGAGCCTTTCAAAGCAAGAGTCTCACTTGTACCATTGTATAGTGCTTGTGTGTAAGACTGTGACTTTTGTCAGCTGTTGATGGCAAGATTTAAAAACACTAGTTCAGACATTTTCCCAGTTAATCATTGTGGACATGGTAATAGTTTCATGTTCTTCTTTAAGGAAGCCGACATTTTGTGGAGTGGCATTTTTGTTCTCTATAAGGAACTGATGTGGAAATTAGAGTAGAGGACTGTGTGCCAGCTTGGAGCTAGAATCAAGAGGCCTTGAAGCTGCAGTTCCTTCCAGAAAAGGTGCAAGCTCAATTAATGTGGACGATTATAAACCCAAAGTTCTCATAAAGGGAGCACCACATGTTTGTCTGAGATAAATTCTCCTAATTAAAGCATTCGTGGTCCCTTAGCCATCCAGGTAATGCTCATACTCACGGCTGAAGGAGAAATAAATGTCCTAACACCTGGAAGCTCCTTGGAAGCAGTGGCAGTAGGGACTTCACAGTGGTGGTGCTAGGCTTGCCTCAGCCCCAGCAACCTGTCAGTTAACTGGTTCTGTCCAGTGGAGATACCAATGGCTCTCGAGCCTCTTTGTTAGGTTAATACCTGTGTTCAGTGAGTAACTCTGGAAGACACCTTTCAAACTTGTAAGGTAGGAGGTGCTAATAAATATTCTATATAATCAAGTTGTAAAGAATAAAACTATTGCTTGATCTTGTTGGCCTTTGGCAGACTTTGTACTTTTAAAACTATTTTGTTCCTGTGAATGGGTTTCTGAATCCACTTCTTGGTGAGGAGTTTTAAAGCAAGGCAAGCAAACAGCTTCAGTTCAGAGTGACTGATGAGTGGGGTGTAGTCATTTGATAGGTGTTAATGGAGTACCTGTCCTGTCTGTGGGGTGTAGTCATTTGATAGGTGTTAATGGAG